GTTACCCCTCCAAATTCTCGGGAATTTCTCGGGAATTACAACTTTTCCCCCCAACTCCTAGCTTCTCATTATTTGCAATTGAACCTGATGTTAGTTTGAACTCAATTCAAGCCATTCTGGGAAGCTAAGAATTGTTTAAAAACAGATGGGAGTTGCTCTCCGGTACCAATCCGACTTCCTGAATCCGCGTGAGGAAGCGTCTTTTTCACGACTAGGAAAGATAGCAAACTCTCCCGTTAGCCATCCTGGTTGTCGTGAATTGCTCTGTAACGATTGTAGCTGCACAATCGCTACAACTCGCAGCGACTTTCTACAAGTTTTGTCGACTGTAATTTCTATCGTCTTCTAATTTCGTCGCACGTCTGCATTGTATTCGCGAAAATCGTCTGTCTGTTTCTCGCGGTTTCAATTGCTGTGAAAATAAAAATCAATACGAGTCATGCAAGCCTAATTCGAAATCTCAAAACTAATCACTTCAATCTAAATTGATTCCTCCGATTTTGTTCAATTTACCGATTAAAGCTGTTAATCGTTCAAAACAGTAAATCTTTCCACCAAACTGCTCCATAAAACTTTCATCGATGACATGCATTTTTCGAAGTCATTCTTGTCGAACGGCGCAATTCATTACTGTCGAATTACCGCGTTTGGCCGCGCTATATTCGATAAGCAGGACCTTGGTGGAGCCGCTCTGCAAAGATCCCCCTTCCCGAGGCTCGAAACTCGAATCTGGCCGCGGGGATGCCTCTGGCGAATTAGGGTTTCAAAAGCCGCTCTACTTGTTTGAATTGTCGTTCTTGTTTGAACAATTGGTCTTATTTGAGCAATTGGAGCATCTTCAGTTCAGTTTTTGCATCCATTAGCTTTTCCAAATTCGTCACTGCTTGGAATCTCGTCCTTCCAAGTTCGTTTAAGACTCTTTCATTCTCCTGTTCTATCCAAAATTCCCTCACTTCACACTTCAGTTTCCCTTGCGGCAACGGATAATTTATCAGCTAAACGTTGATTGGCCTTCTGTGCCAGAACGGCTTGTTCATAAATGACTTCTGATCGTAATTTAGCTAGTTCGCTTCCGTTGGTTTTTCATTTTATTTTGCGCCTCTTTGTCTACTCTGTCTGTTATTCGGCTGTTCTGGTTTCAGTTTCTTGTAACCCAGTTGCTGTGAGAAACTTAAGCATGTTAGAAACAGTTCGAAATTTTGAAAAATTTCAATTCGAACCTAAACAAAATATATTTCTTTTATAGGACCGACTTCATTGGTATTTCTTTTATAATAACTTCCAATTTTTTTGTTACAGACACGTCCAGAGGCTACTTTTTCTATCTAGATTTTTCTCTCTGAATCAACCTTTTATCGTCTGTCTCGGCGCTGGTGGTCACGGTAACTTTCTGTCCAAATAAAGTTCTTTTTGCTTTAACGCTGGAAGTTGTGTTTTATTGTTTCTCCAAATTGAATCACTTGTCCTTTGAGAGCCACCATTAACTTTTATCGGAAGAGACCGTTTTTAGATTTTTTGTTAAATATTTTTGTGACTGAAATGATTTTGTCTCTATTTCTGCTAAATTGCTCTTTTTTTGGTGATGTATGAAAATAAATTGCTTGTTTTGTGATTTTTGTGACATTATTTCAGAATGGCGGTCAAAATGCATGACGACATCGAAACTTTATTGATAGCAGCCGAGTGGGAAAATTGGCAGTTGTGATGATTTAACGGTGTTAATCATCAAATTAACGAAATGGGAGAGGCCAATTTGGAGTGACAAATCAATTTGTAAAATTTCGATTTGGGCCTGCGTGACACGTCACAATTTTTTTTCGCGAACAATGAAAACCGCGAAAATCAGAACAACGATTTTCACTCAGACAAGCAAGACGTACAAAAAATCATAGCGAACGACAGAATTTGTGACATTCGATCAGAATGGCGCCAAAATGCACGGCAATATCGAAATTTTGTAGGAGATTCCGAGTGGGAAAATTGGCAGTTTCGATGGATTAACAGTGCTAATCGTCCAATTTGACGAATTGGGAAAGTTGAATTTGAAGTGACGAAGTAATTTTTAAAAATTCGTTTGAATATAAAGACACGTCACGACTTTGAAATTTTGCAAACACTGAAAACAGCGACAATCAGAACCGACCGGTTTTTGCTAGAAAATAGCCACATTGACTCTCAATGGTGAAGAAAAGACGTGAGAACTGCATTGAAATTACAATCGAGACTGTCCGAATTGTAACGATTGTAGCTGTACAATTGTTACCGAGCAAATCCCGAGAGTTCGGAAGCGTACCGGGAGGATTTTACCACCCTTCCAGAAGGACGACAAGACTGCTCTTCGTCCGGACTCCAGAATCCGGAAGGGTCTCGTGAAGAAAACTGAAAGTGCATTTCAACAATTTTTAGTTTCCGGATATGTCCTGAATTGAACTAACTAACATCAAAATTCGTTTTCAGATAATCAGAAGCTAGGAATTGAGGAACAGGGTTGAGGAAAAGGGTCTTGGAGCAGATCATTTTGGAAGTTTGACCTTGAGCAATACGAACAACGTAATTTTGGTGTGGAATGGACTTTTTCAAAAA